CCCCCGGGGGGTCCCCGCGCTGTCCCCGCGGGTCCCGCGGCCGCGCCAGCAGCGCCTCCACGCCCGGCGCCAGCTCCTTCTCCCACAGCTCCTCGGTGGCCGTCAGCATGTAGGTCTGCGCCAGCACGGCCCGCACCTGCGGACACGGGGACAATGGGGACGTTGGGGACGTTGGGGACGTTGAGGACATTGGGGACAATGGGGACATTAGGGACGTTGGGGACAATGTGGTCAATGGGGACGTTGGGGACGTTGGGGACAACGGGGGCAACGGGGGCAATGGGGACAATGGGGACAATGGGGACGTTGAGGACATTGGGGACAATGGGGACGTTGGGGACATTGGGGACGTTGGGGACAATGCGGTCAATGGGGACGTTGAGGACATTGGGGACAATGGGGTCAATGGGGTCAATGGGGACATGTGGGGACAATGGGGACGATGGGGAGAATGGGGACATGTGGGGACAATGGGGACACGTGGGGACATTGGGGATAATGGGGACGATGAGGACATTGGGGATATTGGGATGATGGGGACAATTGGGACATGGGACGATGGGGACATGGGGATATTGGGACATGTGGGGACATTGGAGACATGGGGACACTGGGGACAATGGGGACAATGGGGACAATGGGGACAATGGGGACATGGGGACATGTAAGGACATGGGGGACAATGGGGACAATGGGGACATGGGGATATTGAGACATCCAGGGACACAGAGGACATTGGGGACGTTGGGGACATTGGGGACAATGCGGTCCCCCCCATGTCCCCCATGTCCCCATGTCCCCCATGTCCGCCATTGTCCCCATATGTCCCCAGTGTCCCCATGTCCCCGATGTCCCCCCGTTGTCCCCGTGTCCCCGCGGTGTCACCTTGCCGGTGCGCATGTCCCTCACGTAGATGCCCTCTCCGTCGCCCAGGGCCACCGCGCGGCGCCGCTCGATGACGGCCACCTCGGCGGGGGGGACGTACTCGAGGGGCCCGCGGAGCAGCCAGCGCTCGCCCGCGCGCCGCGTCACCTCCCTGCCGTCCTGCGGGGACAACGGTGACATCGGCATTGTCATCATCATCATCATCGTCATTGACATTGGCATTGGCATTAGCGTTGACGCTGTCATTGCCATCGTCATCGTCATTGACGTTGTCATTGTCGTTAGCGCCGCCCGCGCGCCGCGTCACCTCCCTGCTGTCCTGGGGACAACGGTGACATTGTCATCGTCGTCATCATCATCATCGTCATTGACATTGATCTTGGTATTAGCATTGACGTTGTCATCGTCACCTTCGTTATCATTGAAATTATCATCGTCATTGACATTATCATCGTCATTGACATTATCATCATCATTGACATTGATATTAGCATTGATGTTGTCATCTTCATCGCCATTGTCATCGTCGTTGTCATTGCCCACGCACCACGTCACCTCCCTGCCCTCCTGGGGACAATGGTGACATCATCATCGTCATTGTCGTCATCATCATCGTCACCATCGTCACTGACATTGTCATTGTCATTGACGTTAGCGTTGGCGTTCACGTCGTCTACGTCATCGTCGTTGTCACTGCCCGCACGTCGCGTCACCTCCCTGCCGTCCTGGGGACAACGACGTCATCGCCATCGTCATCGCCATCGTCATCGTCATCACCATCGTCATCATCATCGCCATCGTCATTACCGTTGTCATTGTCACATCACTGTCATCGCCGTCGTCATTGTCATTGACATCATTGTCGTCACCGGCATTGCCCATGCGCCGCGTCACCTCCCTGCCCTCCTGGGCGGGACAACGGCGTCGTTGTCACCTCCTTGCCACTGTCCCCAGTGTCCCCAGTGTCCCCGTGTCCCCCCCGGTGTCACCTCGTCCTCGTGGGTGACGTTCTGCAGCGCCTGCAGCAGCAGCCCCTCGTCCTCGCCCAGCACGAAGACGTCCTGGATGCCGGCCTGGAGCCGCTCGCCCGGCCGCAGGAAGAAGGAGCACTCGCCCTGTGGACATGGGGACACGGTGGGGACACGGGGACACGGTGGGGACACGGGGACCCTGCGCCCCCTCTTGGTGTCCCCATGTCCCTCATGTCCCCCACATGCCCCATGTCCTCCTTGGTGTCCCCACGTCCCCCGCGTCACCTTGAGGACCTTCTGGTGTCCCCATGTCCCCTGAACCCCCTCTTGGTGTCCCCTGGGTGTCCCCATGTCCCCATGTCCTCCTTGGTGTCCCCATGTCCTCCTCAGTGTCCCCATGTCCTCCTCGGTGTCCCCATGTCCCCAGGGTCCCCTGGGTGTCCCCATGTCC